CTTATTGTCAGTAATGCATCCATTACCAAACAAGAGCAGTAAGGTCACTGCAGGCCCTCGCCCCAATCTTGCAATGTTCAAGAAAGTCAAACCAAATTTCAGTATCAAGATCTTGGTCTGGTTTCAGATGATCATAGGAAGACCAAGATCTGATCATCTTCCTTGCCTAATAATTGAACCAGATCAGTATATTTTAGGTTCTGTGAGGGGACACACTCACACAGACAAATAGATGGATGCATGATCTAATTACAATACCCTTAAAACATTAGATCTCTTAGAAACGTAATGTGCTTCACTAATACAACTATGCCAACTAAGTGCAAAACAATATAATGCAATTAAAAAAATTCTTCAGCGTTTGCTGAAGAATGTGTGTCCTGTCATCCCTGTTACTTGGGTCAGTCCTGTGACTATAACGTCAATCCTGTTGCTGCCATTAATTTCATAAAATTATATTTGATATGATATGATACGATATCATGATATTTGATAGGGCCTTCCAGGTTTTTCCATTGTAACTAAATATGTTTTATTTTGGACAAAACCCTTTTTTAAATATCTGTCTTGTAAAAATAAATATTTTTCTTAATTGACATGTGGTCACCCTCCAGATATAGATATGGATATTCTTGGTCATCTGAATGACAAATATACAAATATTTTTAAAAAATGCAAAATTTGAAACAATCCCGGTGAAAAGAGGGACTAAAATGCTGCTCGTATACAGTATGTGAAAACTATCTCATATTTCTAATTAAAACTATAGTATATAGTAACACTTGTGTCTGTAACAGGGTTGACAAAAATATCAAAACATAAGGTAGAAAAATAGTCATAAAATGAGAAATTACATAGCCTGAGATGGCACAATACAATTTCTTGTCATTTTAAGGTGTGTTCATTTCATGGATATTTAAACTTATTTTATTTCTTTAATTTTTCCAAGTGGAAAAGGCACCGATTTCGTGGAATGAACCATTAAACTTTTTATTTCACAAAAATAAATGCTAAGAGCAGTAAGTGCTTACTGGTAGATGCCATTTTTAATTTTACATGGATGAAAACGAGGTTGTGAGGGAAAGATTACACACTTTGTGTAAAGGTCCTAGATCACGTAATTTTTAAAACTATTTTATGTAGTTTTTGTCTACTGAAAGTCTTCAGGAAAAATGTTTCTGAACATTTGGCATGTTGCTAAACAACAATGCAACCCATTGAACATATTGTACTTTTATCAGAAATAGTCAAGAAGTCCTCAGATGCCATGTTCATTACAGCAGCGTCTTGTAGAAATTATGTTGTGGAAAAAGCTGCTGACTGAATGAACTGCAAAGTTTATGCCAAATACATACAGCATGTATGATTTAAAAATAGAAGTGCTTTCTGTTGTATCGTGTAAATGAACTATACTAATTGGACATTAATTGCATTCTTGATCTTGAATTATTAACATAAGTTATTACTCCACCACCTGCACGTGACGTCATTAACAACAGTCCTGTATTGTTTAACCAACAAGGTTTAAATGATGGAGTGCGGTTTCAGGAAACAGTCGCAACTTGCTTTCCAGTGATGCATTTTAATATGTAGTTAATCAGCGAGTTACAACATCGTCAGGACTGTTTCTAACCTTCCATCAGTACTGGGGCCCAAAGCAGCAGGTCCCCAGAACCAGGACTGAAAACCACTTTTAAAAGGTTAACATCTTTTATCCTGTCATGGCAGAAAATGCGAGACATGAGCGCAGTGGTCAAAGATGTCTGTTTATGGCATGTTTGCATAAAACAATAGAAAAATTCAACAATACATTAATAATTCAGTTCATATAAGCAGTGACTTGAATACAAATTGAATACACTTGTTGATCATGTTTTTTTATTTTATTTAAAATTAATTTTGATATGACTTTTAAAAAAATGTCCAAGTGTCTTGATATCATAATAAAGAAAAAAGGCTGATTAAAAGATTTTTCTTTTAATTTTCTTTATTGTGAACACTTTTATGTGTCATTAACCCATCCACATGAAAAACTACTATAGGGTCACTTCCCCTAAAACATATGATCAATATCAGTTTGCTTTAAGCATTACTGTTTTAATGGAAAGTTGGAGGTTACGGCCTATAAACATTGCTTTCGGTATGAAAGCAAATATCAAATTCACCATTAATTTGGGATTTGGCTGTCTACCAATCACTCTGATGAATTTTGTGCTACTTTTCTATGGTTATGTATGATAAAAGATCAAATGTTGGGCCTATATCTTGGAAAAAGCGAAAGCTTATTCTATCCATTGTGTAACATATGACTGGATTCCTCTAGTCATCAAAACAGCTTTTAAAAAACAGCTTGTTGTTCTTCTTTCTCTCTTTTCTCAGAAAGTGCAATGCAGCACCTAAAGCATTGCCAAGGTCTTGCTCAGGTCTTCCTTATCAGGAGTCAAAGGTGATCATAAAAACATTTGTTCCTTATTTAAGCATTTCCAAATAATACATATGAAAGTTCATCTTTTAGAATGATTCCCAGAGGCGTACCTACATGAAGTGGGGGCCCCAGGCAAAATTAATCAGCGAGGCCCTTCTAAAAGATTTTTTTTTTTGTTAATGTATCTTTGTTACCTAGTGATATAATTATACAACATATGAAATGTGGACAAAACACATCTAATGATGCACAAAACAAGACGCGCGCTCTCTCTCACTCGGATGTGCACGCTCAAACCTGTGCACTCAAATCTATTTGAAGGAGGATTTAATGTTGCCAGAAGCCCATCAATCACCAGAATTCCATGACTGACTGATGAAATAACAGAGTACCTTTCAACTGTAAAAAAAAATTACGGATCTTTGTTAGCATTTCCAGGCTGATTTTGGTCAGTGAATTCTCGTTATTTATTTTATTACTTAGCCTAATAGCTATTTGAATTAAGTGCCTATTCTGAATAGGTATTTATTGAATTATTTTATGTATATCAGCAAGTGAACGAGTTGCAGCGAAACTCATGAAAATATTTTTTTTTGTTTAGTAGTGTAGGCTATTTGCAGTCTTCGCGAGAGACGAATATCTTTTGTGTAGCCTAATGAATTCAAGCACAATCGAACGGAGAATTTTTTTTAAATAATTTTTTATTAATTAGGCTGTAAAAATGGGAATGTTAAAATATTTAAGGCACAGTTGTTGCATGACAACCTAGCCCGTTATCATTTGCTCATGGAAACGATGATGAATAAAATGTTTTATACTTGGTTTGGAGTGGAATAGAGTGTGGGCAGAAACATAAATTGGTGCCTATGCTTACCGTTGTCCTGTTTCCTCTTTTCCTCCTCTTTTTTTTTCGCTTCAGGCTGCCTGCTAGACTTGTCCCCTTCGTGATGTTTTATAAACAAATTTCAGGGCGCTTTTGGGCCAGGCTGGACACCGAGCTCGGACCCCTCTCCCCGGACAGGCGGAGGGTGCCCCGGGCTCGGGAGTCTTGTCGAGCTCGGAGCTCTCTCCCTGGACAGCACGCCAAATACGCATAACCTTTATTTAATTATATGTAAGTGTGAACTCGTGAATTTATGTTTAACGTGCGTGTTTATGTGTGTGCGCGCGAACTTTTTTCAGTTCATTCCTAAATTGCGCAAGCTCAACTTCCATAAGAATGGATTAAAAACGCTCGGGTCCCGCGTTCTGCTCCGCTCCAGATCATGCATTTTCTAATCTACAGCACCGCGAGGACGCGCTGCACCTGTTTGAAAAAGCGGCCGAGGAGGCAAAAGCATAACCAGTGTATCGAGAGAGTGGGCCCCATAGGGGGGATGGAGAGTCCTGCATTTCAGCCCGGGCCCCGACTTTTTTCGCCCCCTAGGGCCGGGCTTCGGGCCAATTTTCACGTCATAGTTCAGACGCGGACCAGGCCTTGGGCCTGTTTTAGGCTTCTCCTTATTTTTATATTTTAGATATCCATCAATTAGTGATGAAAAATTGCCACGCTGGTGGAAACAACACGAGACCATGCTACAGCGACTGTCAAGAGCGGCTCGACGGTGTTTAGTGTCCAGCAGCAGCAGCAGCATGTATGGAGCGTGCCGTCAGCGCAGCTGAAGAGTTCTGCGTTCAAATGCAAGCAATAGGCTTAAGCTTGCCGCAAAGCATCGGCTAATAAGTGTTTTCGGTGTCGCAAGGATGAAGTTGCCGATCCTGACTCGCCATCTCCTCATTAGACGCGCCTTTAGAGAGAAGTGCACTTTACGGATTATGATTATAATGAAAGAGTTTTTTATCATGTCTGTGAGGCATGTATTCGCTGAGTTTTGGTTCATTTTTGTGAAGCGCGCCTGTTCAAGACGAGATGGCAGAAAGCTAAATTGATTTGAGAAGGCTAAATTGATCAAACATAGGCTCACTGTCTGCCGCTGGCCGCTTGGTCGTTACTTTAAAAAACAAAAACTTATATTTAACAAACGCTCCAAACGTTTTTCTAAATGAACTTAATAAAAAGACGATACGAAATATAATCACTTTGCCATTACATACAAAAATGAACTATGTTAATAGCTGGAACAGTAGTATAAGCTGTTTTGGGAGAAGGGGAAAAAAAAGACGGACACGGGTCGGACTCGGGCCGGTAATTCTGATAAGCTGTCGGACACGGGCCAGGCTAGGATCTGAGCATCTCGGGCCAGGGCAGGGCTAGGGCTCTAGGATGGAGAGATGTCGCTGCATGTTGTAGCTATTAATATTAACATTCCTGTTGTTTTAAATGGTCGGCCATCGGGGGCCCCCTTAAAATGCGGGGCACCAGGCATTTGCCTGCCCCATTGCTACGCCTCAACATGGCACCTTGATTTAATAATTTGCTTTATGTAAATGATTAAAATGACAATGCCAGATTCTGTGAAATGCTCTTTAGGAAACTTGAAAATAATGTTTGTTGTTATGAAATTGTTGCTTAAGCTTCTCTTAACTCTCAGTTCCAGACTTTCAAAGAGCATTATCCCATCACTGTCTGTGTGGGATGGTCATCTCGCTTGTCGCTGGAGGAGCACTGGTGGCCATGGAAGGCAGAAATACTTTAATGACAGGCTGCCGAAGTTTAGATTTGCTCTGGCAGGGCTGCTGGCAGGTACTGGAGCTGTTTTAGCCTATACGCTCCACCAAGACAAGGTGAGACCCCTGATATGTTCCCTACTTCCTAAATAATGAAAAGTCTCTAAAGATATTACAAAAATAACACAACTATGTTAAACAATGTCACACAACTAATGAAAACAAGTGTTACAAACCTTTCCACTCAGGGTTGGTTGATTGATTTGTTGAAAATGCACAAAAATAGGTCACAAAAAGGATTGCTTTGACATGCTTTCTGTGTTTCAAGCACGTTTGGATGGCAGAAACAGAGCTTCTGTTGCCAAAGGCTTGTCACGTTTTCTCAGGAATAGCATCTAATTAAAAAACTAACAAAGATGTATGTGTACATTGTCATTTCTCATACTTGCTGAGAATGAGGGTGAAGATGAATCATGTTTTGTAAATATACGACTGTTTTTTGTGCAAAAACTTTAATAAACATAAGTGAACTTTAAGAAACATATGCAAATAAAATGTCAAAACAGACTGCAAAGTCAAATCCTGTCAATTATTAATAAAATCATACAATTTTACATAAAATACCATTGATGTCTCACAGTCTGTCTTGGCGTAAAATCTCACCGGGCTCATATCATACAATCCGACAAACAGTGTTGGGGGTAACGCATTACAAATAACGCGAGTTACGTAATCAGATTACTTTTTTTCAAGTTTTTCATTATTTTTTAATTTACAAGAAAATATCTGAGTTACTTTTTCAAAAAAGTAACACCAGTTACTTTGTTTTCCCGTTTCTTGAATGACAAGTCTCCTGTCCCCATATTGGGAGAAATCGGAAGTACAGAGGCGTTGTGTGCGCTGTGTGAACATGATGCTACCGTAGTTCTAGACTAAATGTGAATGTGCATTAATTCATCCCACTCACAAAAAACTGATTTAGTATTAATCAAAATGAATTAAAACAGTGAAATGCAAACTCAGAATATGACTCAAACCTGCAATAATTAAATATGTTAAATAACACAAATGTATCTAATCCCATTTTATTAACCAATGTCTTTGCTGCTGACCTTTGATGATCCAGTTCAACCATACTAATAAGCAAAATTGACTTTAGATAAACTAACAATTGTGCTTCATTGTTTTTTTTTATTGCTGAAGAGTGTTTCTTCTCCTGCATTCTACTGTACAGACGTGAATTTACTTTTCATTCAGCCTGAGGTTTATTCATTACACTTTTTGGTGTGAAAGGGCTTTTACATTTGCTATAAACAGAACTTCTTATATTAAAAACAACCAAGCCCTGCTCATATTTAAAAAGTAACGCAAAAGTAACGTAACGCATTACTTTCCATAAAAAGTAACTAAGTAGCATAATTAATTACTTTTTATGGAGTAATGCAATATTGTAATGCATTACTTTTAAAAGTAACGTTCCCCAACACTGCCGACAAACAAAAATTGTAAAGGACATAAAAATTGCAATGTGCCCTTTGCTTTAGTTGTATCTGAGTGATACTTTTTTTGTCTGTTTTTGTTCAGGTTCACTGGGCTGCTACCTCAGCAGAGTTATGGGTAACGCAGACTTCGAATCTTCCCGTTTACACCCTAGAAGAAGTCACAAAGCATTGTTCCCTTGAGAGTGGTGTGTGGGTCACCTATAAAGGAGGAGTCTATGATATCACTGAATTTGTGGCCATGCACCCTGGTGGCAACAAAATACTTCTGGCTGCAGGTGGAGCTCTGGAACCGTACTGGGCGTTATATGCTGTTCATCAACAAGACCATGTTCTAGAAATCCTCTCAGAGTATAAAATTGGTGTTCTTGATACAGAGAGTTGCCAGAAGCAAGAGAGTACCATCCCTTTAGACCCTTACTCTGCAGAGCCAACACGTCACCCTGCTCTTCAGATCAACAGTCTCAAACCTCCCAGAGTGGATCCTGAAACTTACAGGTTGGAGATCGAGGGTCTCCCTGGTGGAGTAGTATCACTTAGTCTAAGTGAGCTAAAGTCTCGTTTTCCAAAACACACAATTACAGCAACGCTTCAGTTCGCCGGGAACCGTCGTTCTGAGATGAACAAAGTCAAGCAAGTCAAAGGACTCAATTGGGGCATCGCCGCAATAAGCAACGCTACATGGTCAGGTGCACGTCTGCGGGATGTACTGTTGTCCTATGGATTTGGACCAGAGGTAGCAGCGAAAGCTAAACATGTCCAGTTTGAAGGGTTAGACAGGGATGTGACGGGTACAGCATATGGTGCATCTATTCCACTGAACAAGGCTGTAAGTGAAGAGGGTGATGTTCTCCTTGCGTATGAGATGAACGGGGAGGACCTCCCACCTGACCACGGCTACCCTGTCCGTGTAGTTGTACCTGGAGTTGTTAGAGCCCGCAATGTCAAATGGTTGGGGAAAATTGTTGTAAGTGATGAAGAGAGCAAGAGCCACTGGCAGCAGAATGATTACAAAGGCTTTTCTCCAGAAGACTTCAAATCAGCACCAGCCATCCAGGAGCTCCCCATACAGTCAGCCATCACTCACCCAGCAGAGGGAACCTCAGGAGACTGCAGTGATAGGGAGGGGACTGTAAAAGGCTACGCGTGGAGTGGGGGAGGAAGAGAGGTTGTGAGAGTGGATGTCTCGATAGATGGTGGGAAAACGTGGCATGTAGCCAAACTTCACACTAGTGATCAAGAACAGCACCCTGCTCCTCCTCCTCCACCTGGAAGAGCCTGGGCTTGGAAGCTATGGGAGATAGACGTCCCAATTCCTCATAGGGCTCAGGAGTTGGAGATCGTATGTAAAGCAGTGGACAGTAGTTACAACACGCAGCCAGACACTGTTGCACCTATCTGGAACTTACGAGGAGTCCGTAGTAATGCGTGGCATCGAGTACAGGTAAAAGTGAGCGAGGGTTTGAAAGACCAAAAATGAACTTAATACGTGAACGTAAGATGAACATTAACAAAATTGTTGGAATTTTCTTGGGTGCAGGTTGGGTTGTGGCTTTGCAGCTGTTTGAGCTTGTGGGTTCTTGGAAGTGCTTGAAATGGACTTTATTTTTTATGTATATTTTAACAAGCAAAAATAAATGTCTTGATGGATACTTGCAGGTGTTCAACACCAGAATACTTGGTCAAAACTGACTATAACAAACAAGGTTATCATTTGTCATTCATTTCTATCATGAAATCTCATAAGACATTTTTAGTCTAGTGACATTTATAAACATAAGACATTTATAAACACTTGGTTTAATACCATATTACACTGTTCAAAATTATATTCTGAACATCAACATGATGAAGGCCTGCATTTCCACTGACTAACGCCAACTGATTGTTACATAACCTGCCTACTAATAAGGTCTAAGAACTTTAATTTATTTTATACAGTATATATTTATTTTTGAATATATACATTTTCAATTAAAATTATTCAATCCCCAGAAACTATAACAATTTACAAATGTAAGCTTTTCTGAAGTACCAGTTTAGTGGCATATTGAATGTGATCAATATTACATTTTACAGTTCCACTTTTTTAATACTTTAGTGTAGTGAAATGACATTTGAATGATTTAACCATGTAATTGTTATTTTAGTATTCAGTAATAGATATTTATGCAATTTTTAATGCAATTTGTAATGTGACTCTGATTTATATTTTATGTGAATAACTACTATTAGTAAATACTCAAAGGTATGAAAATAATTTTTGCTAATCTTCTTTTGTGATTTTAAGCAAATTCCAGAATGTGCTATACTTCATGTTAAATGTTTAACTGTAGTATGTGATTTGGGAAGAAAGACAAAATAAACACTCATTAGAAGCAGTAGAAGTAGTTTTCCTAGTGGGCAGATCTGATATTGAACGTGAACAAGGCTGCTGGATAAAAACACTGTTGCTGCTGTAAGGAGCTTAATTAATATTACCATACCTGAAAATGAAATGAAAATCTGAGTACTTAAATTGCAAAATTGTGAATGTTTTCTAATGGGGTTTGAGTAAAAGCATCTGTAACTCGTGTCTTTTAATGATCTATTCATTGCAGACATCAGTAAGGTCAGTGAATAATTTTATTTGATCTACACACTGTAATTGGAGGAATACAGGAAAATATGACTCAATCTCAATTCACTGCAGCACCAAATATGTGGTTGACATGATGAAAAAAACAAATGTTTACTGCACATATTCTTTACATTGCAATAGACAACTGAACGCTTACTTGATATGTGTCATCTTTAAAGCCTCATTTCATTTACATTTCTGACTATAACTGATTAATGATGCAAAGCAGTAACTGACCTGGAAAGGAGAAAATAACTTAATACTCCTCACCCTCCTCTTCTCCTTCTCCCTCGACTGAATCTACACCCACCTCCTCATAATCTTTCTCCAGGGCTGCCATGTCTTCTCTAGCCTCAGAGAACTCTCCCTCCTCCATACCTTCACCTACGTACCAGTGCACAAAGGCACGCTTAGCGTACATCAGATCGAACTTATGATCAAGTCTGGCCCAAGCCTCCGCGATAGCAGTGGTGTTGCTTAGCATGCACACCGCTCGCTGCACCTTGGCCAAATCACCACCAGGTACAAATGCAGACACATCAACATCTGTGTCTCTGTTTTAGGTAAAAAAAAACAAAAAACACGAAACATTAAAAAAACACAGACTGAATAAAATCATTAATGCGCGTTCATATTACCCACTGCCGTAACTTTAACAGTTTTATTAAAATGCTACGCATTTAGCCCTATGTGACGTCTGTTTTTATATTGTTTATCAACACTTTTACACCACGGACAAGGTTTGAGAAGAAGAAAATCATTATGAAAATATAATTATATTTTCCTTAAAATGTTCTTCCTAACTTCAGGCCTTATTCTCATGTCATATACAGTATAACTGTGATGTTCTGCAAAACAACAAGCTTTAAAACACTTTTTTCTTACTGGTGAAAATCAGATGGTCAAATCTGTTTTCTCTCAGGTACATCGCAGTGTAAGCTTCACAGTGAACATTACTACATCACTCTCGTCAACGTAGTCCATATCAACAACAAAAATATATCTTGACTCCATATAGTGGTTATTTTGGGAAAATCCCAGGTATTTTGAGCAGTAGGATTATAAAAAATATGTGCTAATATAAAATTAAATTAAGTAGCCTATATAAAATTGCAAAATAAATCTATCTATCAGTACTTTTTTACTTAAGTACATATAAAATCGAGTACTTTTGTACTTTCACTCGAGTAAAATTGAAAAAGGAGTACTTTTACTTTTACTGGAGTAATATTTTACTATACGTATCTGTACTTTTACTCTTGATTTGTGTACTTCGTCCACCACTGGTTTTATTACATAATAGTTAGTTGCAGACTTTTAAAACTGATATAATTTTCACTTCATTACTATAAGATACGAATGTACATACTGTGCAAGTGTGAATTGGGTGTTGCAAAAAATTTGACACAATAACACGCCATTCTATTCTTTAAGTATAGAACTGAATATAGCCAATGAGGCAAGACATCATGTGAGCAACCATGGATGCCACCTTCCTCCGCCTCTCCTGTTTAAAAACCTCAAGCTCCACCTAGCCGTCCCTTATTTCTTGCTTAGCAACATGGGTTTACTTAAAGAACTACAAGTCATCTTACCAAATTGCAGCACTATGTTCACTGTATATGCAATGTAAGTTAAGTCCATACAAAGGCAGTGAACTGTATTTTCATTCTGGGTTTATAAATAATCCTTTCTCTGCTGATGAGAATAACTCTGAATTTGTTTAAAGCACTGTTACACTCATACTGCTACACTGTTACAAATACTGTTTATAGTAGGCTACAACATATGTTTCCTGAGCTTAGCTGGTCAGAGCAGATCTGAAGAGTAGTGTGCACTCTCTGCTATGCCTTTAATGACCTTCAAATCCATTGCACTGTTAAATAACTGAGGCTTAATATTTGTAATGTAATGAATACCTAGATTTAAATTTGAAAATCACAAAGAGAAAGCATGTACTGAATAATAATAATAGCCTGATAACAGTTCACCAGCATCTAACAGACGAAAAGTGGTCACACATCCCGATACAAAATAGCAGAGTCAAACATATTCACCAGAATATTCAGCAGGAATATATCGAGCAGATGTCGTTTATTAAAACGATGACAGGTGTAGTGTTCCGCAGACCCTGTAACCTGCCTCATCTCTAGATATAGCCACTAGACTACTATTTAATAAGTATTATGTACACAACATTTAGTAGCCTATATGCTTAGATTTAGCATATGATTTCTTCATAATGACACAATTCTTGCTTAAATCATCTTATTACACGTATGCTTTCATCTGAATAGTATAGCCTAAAAATCTAATAATACAACGAGTCAGCTACTCACCATTTTCGTATAGCCTACTTTGGAATGATCTGGAAACAATATTTTGCTCTACTGCGTTACTGTTCTCGACGGCGAAGAGTCGATGTAGTAACTGCGCGAAATCCTCGAGTGGCACCGCTTTTATAGAGTGACAGAGAGCGTCAAGATGTGACCTACTTCATGTATGTGAATATATAGACTGCTCATTTCATTGCATCAGAACACTTGTTTCATTCAGGTTTTTTTGCATGCCGTTGATTTCTGAATAATGTCTGGGGATCATCTGAAATAGTCATTAGCTTACTTTAAAAATGAAATAAAACCGCTATGTCATTGAGTCAGTCAGTCCAAGCCCTCTTTCACAATCATAAAGATGTATTTTACAATCTAAATGGTGCTTGTTGAACAGTTGTTGTTTTTTCTGCAGCATTATGATGTCATGCACTGCAGCAGAATCTCAGACGGGCGGTGGCTCGTGACTAGCTGTGTGCGCCTATATGGAAATATTGTCTAGGCGGCTTATGAGGGTTTAAAACACGTTATGTTTTCTGGAACACAATGATAAGGTGCGGCTGCATCAAAGCATCTAAAACTCTTCTATTGTTATCCATGTTTAACGTTATATAAACTATTCCCTACAGTCTGTTTTGAATGTGTTATTAGAACTGTGTTCAGTAGGTTTATTGAAATTTACGGTCAAAAACAACACGAATGACATAATGTTCAAATTACATTTTAAATGATTTGTAGGATGCAGGTTTGATAAATAAAATTACACGAATGCCACTTTGTGTGGTGTTTGTGATCCAGATGTTAGTTTATGTGCATTTGAGAGATTTATTGCAACCATGAATAACCCTTTTCCACAAAGAGTAAGTAAGCAAGCAAGACTGGCGTGAAATAAAACTGTATTTTGTTTGGAATATTTTCACAAGATGTATTTGGTTGCGCATAAACTGAGCCCATCCCTCCTGCAGCCTGCTCTATAGCGACATCTTCTCTGCTACGAGAGCAGCAGCACATATCAGCGCCTGCAGCAGCTGAGAAAAACCACAAAATGGTGAGTGAACACTTTATTTCTTAGTTAATTTTCTGCCTTATAATGTTCATCTTATTTTGCTGTTTTGCGCTTTAATCGGAAGGTTTTGCACAGTTCTATTGATGCTCGTCATTGTTAGAAGGGAGAGAAGAAAGACGAGCTCTGTATTTTTCATATGAGAACATTTCTGATTTGAGAGCCTAAAAAGCTACAGCTAAATAGCTATGTTATACAATTTTCAAAAACTGAATTAGCAAATCTGGGAATATAACGGTCTGACATTTCTCATTGTATGCCATTGTTGCTTATGGTTTATTTCGATAATTATCTGAAAATGGTGTTGATATATTTTATTTTTATACAGTTATGGGTTACATAATACAGTTTAAAAGTTTTGCAAACAACATGTTTTGTCAGTAAGTAAATATACATTAAAATCCAGTGTGGTATGTAATCAAATATATCATCCAAAACTTACATTTTATAAATCTCTCTCTCTCTCTCGCTCTCTCTTTTTTTTTTTAAATGTCTCTGTACTGGGAATTATCCTAATTTTCAGGATAAATGTTAATGATAGAGTCATTTATCTTTCTTTTCCACAACAGCGTGAGTGTATTTCCATTCATGTGGGTCAAGCTGGCGTCCAGATTGGCAATGCCTGCTGGGAACTTTACTGAATGCTTGCTTTGAGCCGTCTAATCAGATGGTCAAATGTGACCCACGTCACGGCAAGTACATGGCTTGCTGCCTGTTGTACCGTGGTGATGTTGTACCTAAAGATGTAAATGCTGCTATTGCCACCATAAAGACCAAGCGCAGCATTCAGTTTGTGGACTGGTGTCCAACTGGTTTCAAGGTTGGTATCAACTACCAGCCCCCTACCGTTGTACCTGGTGGTGATTTGGCCAAGGTGCAGCGAGCGGTGTGCATGCTAAGCAACACCACTGCTATCGCGGAGGCTTGGGCCAGACTTGATCATAAGTTCGATCTGATGTACGCTAAGCGTGCCTTTGTGCACTGGTACGTAGGTGAAGGTATGGAGGAGGGCGAGTTCTCTGAGGCTCGAGAAGACATGGCAGCCCTGGAGAAAGATTATGAGGAGGTGGGTGTAGATTCAGTCGAGGGAGAAGGAGAAGAGGAGGGTGAGGAGTATTAGATTTCCTTCATTTTCATGCATTCTCCAGAATGAAAATGAATAGCAGGTAGCCTCTAGACCGAAAATTTCACAAGCTTAAAAAATGGCAACTGACATAACAGTCTACCTACTTGGTGTTAGTTTGATTGTTAGTTTAATTTGCTGACAAATATTGTAATGAAAGCTTATTGTGGATATTCTGTGTCTCAATAAAAAGCTTAAAATAAACATTCATATGCTCTTGATCACTTTTTAAACAAAATTAAATACAGGCAACATCAACAATAAATTGACCTTTAGTTCTGCAGTTTTAAGGCATTATGAGAAATCAGTTTTTCCTTAATCTTTGGAAATAAGAGTTTGTTGGACTATGCAGAAAAACTTTCAAAACGTCCTTATATTTTTCCGTTGTTTTTAACTAATGATAAGAGCAAAAAAGTCTGCATGTCAAGTTTTGTGAATCACAAATATTTCTGTTTCCAAATCAAAATGCACAGGTATTTATTTATTTATGTGGTATTGTTGTAAAAGCACATCACAGACAAATTTGACATTGTTACATTTGAAATTTAGAATACTATTAGAATATTATGATGGTTCCCATTAGTAATGAATGTAAAATAAAAGAAAAAAGAAGATTGTTCTCGTGAGTGCGGATCATAATTTCCTATACTAAGTAAACTTTAAGTTTCTCACAGATTTTACTGAGAAACTCCAATTAAATGTGTTAGGTGGTAACAATTAAAACTATGTAAAGACAATGAAAGAAAGATATAAAAAAATTCCTGTACTTTTGGCAAGATGTCACACTAATCGTCTCAGCATCAATAATGCTAATTATACACACACACACACACACACACACACACACACACACACACACACACAAATGCTTATTTTATGGATACCAAGTGTTTCCTTAGAAAATGTGCTTGACTAGTCTACTGTATATTTCAGTGATGATGACTTGCAAAGGGGGAAAAAAAGGAAGCTATGTATGAATTATTAATATAGGTGTACTCTTAGCAGTGAGCATACACTCAGAAAAAAAAAAGGTACAAAAGCTGTCACTGGGGTGGTACCT